CGAATCGAAGCTGCTGTGGGACCAGTGAAGCCACCCATCTGCCCAGCCCTCTGCATGCTTCCTGAGCTGTTGAGATGTGGCCAGGGCCACGGGAACCCACCATGGCAGCTGCTCTGCTGTTCATTTATCTGTCAATGTTTGGCCTTCGAAAAAACACCAAGCAAAAACATATCTATCATGCAGTCCTTGGGGCACACTTTTAAACAGTGTGCATTATCAGGGCATCTCTAACCAAATAAAAAGTACTTTTTCCCCATAAATTAGTAACATTAGGGCACTGACAAGTAAAAATGCAAAGGTATTAAATGTCTAGCAATGCACAACTCTGGTTCTTATTCAAAGGACCGTATATTCCTGATTCACACTACTCCAACAGAGCAGCATTGCACTTACACACAAATACACGTACACCCACGCAATTCTCCCCACATAATACTGGCAGACCAGTCACTCCCCAGTGCTGTCCGATCACAGCTTTACAAATGCTCTTCTCTCAAACCAGGCCATAGACTTAGCATCTGTTGCCATGTCCTCCCACTTGTGACCACCGGACCACAAACAGGATTATATCTGTTCTCTTCTCAGGTGACCACCATTTAGTTTGGAGTACCCAAGATGCCTTCTCCAGCAGAAAAGAGCACTTGTGGTTGAGCCATAGAAGCAGCTTTCTGGGCGAGACGACTTCCATCATACTGTCCGGTATGAAGCTCCTTGGGAACAACCTGTAAGACCCAATTTATTTAGGATGACTGTCTTGCTGGAATATCCTCTGCAAAAGGTCTCTAGTTAGGCTGGTCCATGCAAGTTGCTTCTGACAACCAAAATCTCTACTCACTCCTCCCAGCACGGCAATTTTTAACTGTTTGACAACTGCAGGCTCAAGCTTTGACAACGCAACAAAGCAGATTTTGTCCCTAGCAAGGCAAAGGCCATACCTTTATTTTTTCTCTTCCTGGTTGTTTTTTCTAACTTTCCACTATTCCTGAATTAACGTCAGCATTCGACTATCAGCTCTAATGGAAAACACCTAGTCATTTTAGGGAAGGGACTATATGATGTTGTGTCCTGTAACGGCAGAGCCCTTAAATCACGCTAGGTCATAGCATGCATCTCTTCTACCCACACCAACCCTGACCAAAGCACAGTGGGGCTTCTGCTGATCCTGGGAGTCCTTCCTATGGAGTCCAGGTGTATCCAGGGCACACAGCTAGATCAGAGAAGCATTTTTTAGGTCTTCAGGTTTAGATATCAGCTCTGTGAAAGAGCAGCTTCCTTCTGCAGCCATGTTCTCCGCAAAGAGCAATCCCCGTCCAGGTAAGGGCTGAAGAGCATGGGACAGCAATGTGCTGCCACACAAGGACGCTCTTAGTCACTGCAGCCCAAACACGTTACAGTGGTAGAAGTTGTTAAGTCAAGCAAGCTCCACTAGACCATCAGACCATTCGGAAAACACCTGCCAGCTTGGACACCGCAAGACTTCTTTCAGCAACTTGAACAAACTTTATCCCTTGGCTATTCTCCAGCCATCTTCCATTCCCTTACCGTTGTGTTCATCCCAAAGCAAGCAGTAGATAAATCTCAAATGGTATCTTGAGGTTAATGAACACAATTCTCGAGGCACAGTAGCATTTTCCTTTTGTTATTTTGTCATCGTCTACATAGTTTAGAAATAAATTTTCAAAGTCAAATCTTTACTGCTGCTGACACCTACCTGAGCAGAATCCTATAAAGAGGTAAGAGCTGCTCACTTACTTCACTTTTTAAATAACATTTAATCTTGCAAAAGAAACTTTCCTGTTTCCACAGGAGTTTACGCCTAGCAATCACTATTCCTAAAACATATCTTACTGGTATAATTCTTTTTACTTTATAAAACTTTAAAAATACAAGTAAAGGTCACATGCTAATTTGACATTTCGAAATTATACTCAAACCTGAAGCTTCACAAAAGTTTGATTATGACACTTGATGTAGTCTACATATAGGAGCAGCTTACAATTACTTCTTATTGCTTTATGAACTGAGATTTTTTTGCTAGAAGACATGATTTTAAAAGCCCTTCAGTAGTAGAGAACACCTAGCCAAAGAATTTTATCATTTTCCTGCTAAAATAACAGCAGATGTACCAAATAAAGTACTCGCTGAAATTCTTGAGCAATCACAGTTCTTACTTCACCAAACAGCCAAACAAAGAATTTTGAACTGAAAAAAACCCTTCTCTTTCGTCATTGTTGTTAGTAAAACACACACTTCACCTATTTTCTCCTTGGAATGTGTGAATTTTAACATATCAAAACAGAAGAGAAAATCTCTTTAAAAATGGGGGGGAAAACCCCTATCATTTCTTAGGAACACTGGAGATGTGCATAACATGTATTCTGCTATTTACCATATTCACCTCAACATCTCATTACTATCCTGTATTCCTCCATCCTTATCTTCTCCCCTCGTTCTTTCATTTCTCACCAGCAAGTTTGTAAACTCTTCACAGCTGTTTTTTTTTTTATACAAGGCTTGGCACCACAGAGGGCATCTTTCCACCACAAAAGCAATACAGAGCAATGGATGTAAATAATACTATTCTTTTATATCAGGAAATTGGATCTTAAATTGTCCTTTTATCTTAGCTGGCTTCAGTTGTCACTGATTTTTCAGTACGCTTCAGATGCTGCCTCAGAGGAATCATCTGACTGACACTGAAAGAGCTGATGGCTGGTTAGTGACAGCTGGGATTTCGGACAGCTAGAAAAGTGTAAGAGGCTATTTAAATTATTAATTAAGCATAACAGGCCAAAAATTGTGTTTTAAAGATGACCCTGAAACTATAAACTGCTAATACCACCATGAGTTCTCTGAGTTAGCAACAAACTGAAATATATTGACCCTCCTCCCTAGAAAAGCCAGTAGCTTCCGGCTGGCTGCAGATGTAGAATGCCACTTCTGTCACATTCACAAGGTTTTATTCACAGCCAGAGCGCTGGAAAAGCACCAGAGAAAACAGCTGTCCAAGGAACAATTTTGTAACTACGACAGGATCAGGTATTATTTAGACTCCAGTCTTCAACTTTTGATTTCCAGTCTGAAAAGCTTAGAGCCTGCCTGCACATGCCGTCTACATACAAGCCACACTCAGGAGGCTGAATTCCCAGCTGCAGGAATTAGCTGCTCAGCTTCTGAGCCCAGCAGCTCAGAAGACAGAGGAAGAGCTACAGGGCTGGGACTTGCTAAGGGACTCTGCAGAAAAGACAGACTAAATAGGTCATCAAATCTTAAACAGCTTGAAGAAGGTTATTCCCTTAGAAGGGTTCTGCTGCCTAGCTCCAAGGAGGAGAAAGGTAGTTTCATGATCTCTAAGATTGTTCATCCCTTTATTTGCAATTAAAAGATAGTCTAGAGCCATTCACAGCAGTGAATGTGGAACAGACAATATCATCATTTTTTGTGCTGTTTCACAGAGTACAAAAAAAACCAAGATATGTACAGCAGTTATGATTTATTCCGTACTTGAGTCTCTTACACTCATTTAGTACTGGATGAGACCACCCTGGGAGGAGAATTGTGCCTGGGAACTCAGGAGCTCCATGTAGGGAATGTCTTGTAAAACTGAAAGCAAATAAAGAACATTCTTGTCCCTTATAGTTGTAGGTAAGGTTGCTTACATACAGTTTAAAATGTAAGCTAAGTAAAATCATGCAGCAAGAATGGTTTTGCCTTGTAACTACCTTCACTGTTACATTATTTCCTTATTTTGAGTATATGTTTAACTCAGGGTAGTGAAAAGAAAAAAGTATTTTCCTTGTTTTGTTAACTCCACTTCTTTAACTTGCAAAGCATGAAATTGAACAGTAATATAGAAACTAGGTCTGCAAATCAGACACTGACAAGTTTTTGTTTAAATTTTTATTACAAAATTATTTAAAAACAATATGCTAACATTCAAAGTTTAATTTAAAAACCTCACAGCTCAGACTACCAAAAGAGAAATGAATGTAACAAACGCATGCAATGCATTTTGTCCCACCTTATAGTCAGACCTCAGGAGCTTGCCATCAGGAAAATCAGCTTTGCACAGCAGCTGTGCCTCCACTACTGCAAATGAGTAAGTGGCAGAGGCCTCATTAAGTCTCCTTTTTTTTTTTATTTTTCAAAGAAAATCTAAGGGCAGCAAAGGACACAAAGTGTACCATTCTTAAAAAAAAAGATCATTTTTATGCTAGCTGAAAAATACAGCTCACTGGCATTGCTTTTTTAATGGTCCAACAACATAAGGAAAGAATTTTTAAAATACTTATATTCTGTTAAAAGTTCAGTTAAAACTAACAGCTTCATATGCAGAATTTGTAAGATGTTGAGACAGATCATTTACAATGTATTAAAGAATTAACACCATATACTGAAAGAGGGAATTACTGACCATTTTTAAGTGAAATTTTACAGAGAATGCAGTCATTCAACAATTAATTTGCCAATTAACACCAGCACGGCTCCTTTTGCTTCCTCTGAGGTACAGACAGCTCTAAACATGCAGGAAGATACACTACCTTCATTATTATTTTAGGTCAAAATCCACTGCTTTGCAAAAAACAATCTTTAAGGAAACCTATGTAATTCAGAACTCTTTACTTCCATTGCCACTCTTTAAAAATAATACATTATCATTCTTTAAAAACAATACAAGCACAATACTGTAGTACTTATGACGCTCAGTTACGACAGCTGCAGTGAGAATACTTGAAAATATCTTTCTGTTCATGAGGTTTGAAAAACAGGGATGGACTTACACGTTAACATCAGTATTTATTTCAAGATAATCAAAACAAAGGAACAGCTTGTACAAACAGAGATACCATTAAACAGATCTCCTGTTGCTTCAAGAATTTTAACCCAAGTGCAATTGGTTTTATTTCTGTTACATTCTGAGTCCACCATCAGTAATAAACGGAAGTTTGCAAGTCTGCTGGGAAAATGCGGAATTTCAGAATTAAGCTACCAGACCCAACTCAGTTTGCATTCTGCAGAAGAGTGAAATAATCAATGTGCTGGAACTTCAAAACCTCATTTCCCCAGCTGGTCCAGCCAGGCTGTAGGCTGCGAGCAAACAACTCCAAGCATTCCACATCTGGCTTGATAAACTCTGCCAGAACATCTGTGCAAGAGGAAAAAAAAAAAGAAGATAACAACAGTGAGAAAGGACAAAGGTAAAAATCACAATAGTAAACAAATAAAATTTCCCCTGTGCTGCTAGTGGGTGAAAACTGGAATGTTTCATTAAAAAAGAGAGACGCAGCAAATTAATTTCAGGGGTTTCATCAAACAGCTGGACTATTTATAGTGAGAAAGCCATTTTAAGTAAGCGCCCTTGAGATTCTGAACAATACTGTCAAGGCCTTCAGTAGTCTTGATTTATTGGTTTTCATTTAGAGAAAGAGAATGAGGATTTATTTCAGCCTCTACATAGATTAGTTCTGAATTTTTCACTAATATCAACCAAACACCTCCTAAAGACTCACTTCATTCCTGTAACACAGGGCAACATTTCTAAAAATAAACAAATAAATAAACCTTTCCTTAATTAAGATCACACACTTTTCCTCTGCATCTTAAAGGCGATAAAAACATTTTTTGATTACAACTTTTAAAAGGTAAAATAAGAAATGCCAGTTAAATAAGCATAGCACTAAAACAGCCATAAAAATGCAGGAACTTTTTTTTTCCCCCAATACCAACTTGGCAACTGAAGAAATATTTATAACTGCATTCTTTCATTCAGTAACATAAACCTCAAATTTCTTCTACATTTGGGCGTTTTTACTACTTAAACAGAAACCAATAGATGCCTGTCATCAATACCAATTGTGTCACTGCTTACAACTGGTATTCTTGGGAGTGGCAGAAAAAGATCTTGCATTTCCTGAAGAGTATTGTTGCAAACAGTTTATTGTTAAACATGTTACTTGTCATACAGAGCCATTTAGTTTGTGGCTCAGTCAAACAAATTCTTAACTAGGTTTCAAGAAATAGCTACAAAGATATTACTTATAAAAACATGCATGAGAAAAAGCAAAGGCTTACGGAGTGCCCAACACAAAGGAGGCAGAAAGACTGAAAAAAATCTATATTAAAAATTAACATGTTGAGTTTAAATTTTTGTTGCCGAGGACAAAAAGAACAAAAGCTATGAAACCATTTCCTTTTCCATTTTTATTCAGATCTCCCAGTGATTTCTGAATTTCTGCAGCTTAAAAATACAGATCATAAATCCAACGTTATGTTGCTTGACTCAGTCTCTTCAGATATGATCATTGCAGAAAGCAAAAATATATCCAATCAGCATACATCAAACATGAGAGGGAATGCTTTTTTTTTGGTGCAATCCCAAGTTCTGACTTTTTGCATCAAGTTTGTCAGTCATAGGCTTCCTGGGTGAGACCCCAGCTGATCCTGTCATGGATTGCTCCTGCTGCAGAAAGATGAGCACCCACTTCACTTTTTAGAGAGTGTTAACCAACCCCAGATGCATTTCCTACCTACATGATCACCTCTTCCAAAGCTTCAATCTCTTCAAAACTTTTTCATAAGTATTTTGTAATGGGTGTTTCCAGACTTTCTTGTATTTTGGCATGGCATATAAAATCTATTCTCCTTCCCTCTATCTTTAACAAATGTCAAATGAATGTCTCAGATGGGTTATCATCAAGGCAGCTTTTAATCTAAAAAATACTGCTACCAGCAGGAATCTTATTTTAAAAACCTGCTTCTTTTAGAGGCAAGCTAAAAAGTTTAAACAAATCTAACATTTGCAGAGAAGTCTGGGAGGTTTAGAGGAAAATGTACATTCTGACAGAAAACTTGCTGCAATGAACACTGCTGTTTGGTATCATGGGAGTTTATCTAATTAGACACCACTTATGAGGAGCTGCTTTTATACCATTTTTCAAACCCACCATATAAAAAAAATGTGGTAAATGTTATTGTTCTTTTTCCATGCTCTATTTGGTTAAGGCTTTCTTGTGCACAATTTGCTGCCAACATGATCAGCAGGGTGGAACACCTCTCCTGTGAGGACAGGCTGAGAGAGTTGGGGCTGTTCAGCCTGGAGAAGAGAAGGCTCCGGAGAGACCTTATAGCAGCCTTTCAGTACTTAAAGGGGGCTGATAAGAAAGATGGGGATGGACTTTTTCGGTAGAGCAGATTCAGATAGGATATAAGGAAGAAATTCTTTACAATGAGAGTGGTGAAACACTGGCACAGGTTGCCCAGAGAGGTGGTAGATGCCCCACCCTTTGAAATATTCAACATTATGTTGAATAGGGCTCTAAGAATCTGGTGTAGTTGAATATGTCCCTGCTCATTGCAGGAGGGGTGGTTTAGATGGTCTGTAAAGGTCCCTCCCAACCCAAACCATTCTATGGTTTTATCACAGGTCTTCCAAAAATCTATTCTCTTGATCATCTAAGACAGCCCACGTGGCAGGAGGTTGCACATTTTCCACAGAAGAGAAGGGAGAGACTGTGTAAAGCAAAGCTCCAAAGCTTTGAATAAGCTCTCTTTGAGCAGATCCTGACATCTGTAGGATATGTTTTTGACCCTAATGAGCATAAGACCATACAGAGCTTACTGCAGAGCCAGGTTTTATATGACTCTTCCCCTCTCCATATAAAAACAAAATATAAGCATTTTATGCTTTATATAGGCTTTTAAGTAGAGGAAGCAATTATTTAGGTGACAAAATTTCATTAAGAGCACATTAGTAATGTTGACGTTTGTTCTTAAAATGTGTAGATTAAAAATATCACAGCACTAAGTCCAGTAATCAAAAGCAGTTTTACTAAGCATCAAAAAACTTCCATGCCTAAGAGAACAAATTTTAAAAGCACACTTAGGAGATTGAACCAACCTCAAAGACTGGTTCATCAGAAAGCAAAAAAGAGGTAGCCAAAAAAACAGGTCAGTTCAGCAGAAGCAGGAAACTTGTGCCAATCTTTCAGTCGATTTGGTTATAGAATTTAAAAAGGAAGTCCCAGGAATCTTCCCCTCTTCTGCTGTCAGATAGAGGGTCTTTTTTTAAATTCAGAGGTTTTGTTTTTGTTTGGTTTTTTTTTTTAAATGGAGACACATTACATATAATTCAAGATCACATTATAGTATGATTTTTCATCGCTAGGATGTTGGTATTTACATAATCACATCAGGCAGTAACTTGCTCTTCAGTGGAAATTACCATATCAAGAGGGCAATAATGTGACTGTATATTGTTGGCATAAAATCTCATTACACTGGTTTCCTTAAAATAGGAAAAGTCAGTACTCAACTTATAAATTGTAGCTTCTTTGTTAGGCTTTTATATCACCAGAAGGCTATCTTAACACACATGGATCTGACTCGCAGCCCTTACGCACACTCTGGAGTGTTTTCCTCTGTAAACAGGTTAGAGGATCTACATCAGTAGGAAGATTAAATATTTTTTCCTATCATAGGAATAGATTAAAAAAAAAAAAAAAAAAAATCACACACAATTACTTCTATCCGCTTACAGATACCACTGACAATAAACAGCTTAAACAGACAACAAATAGATTATTCTTTATCACTTGAAGGTGTCATAAACACTATGAAAGCATCTCAGGCACACATATTTGGGCATCTTATGCCCTAGGACACACAAAGCTAGCACAAAGCCAGCTGGTAGATGTAACACTCATCTGCCAGAAAACCCACTTCTTTCTGAAGCGCAATCCAGCTGTCAGGCAGGATACCTGCCATACCTGCCTACTCTTAATCCCAAACATCTATTGAAGATGCATTCTGCTAGAAATGTTTAAATAAGCAAAACAAGGAATGATTTTTGAAACAAGCGACAGTTTCACCTTATCTTTTGATCCTCCATTACCTAAATAGCAAGTTCTGCACTGCAAACTCGATACCTAAAGTAAAAATGACTGTCGGCTTTTCACTGTCTGATTTGTGAACCATGCAAAGCACATGACTGAACTCATTTCATAGCAACCCTTCTGAAGAGTTTGCAATGTAGAGGTTCTTATTGCCCCGTGTGTCTCATCCCTGAACAGACTAGAACCAGAAAAAGATCTGAAACTCAGTGCAAAGATGGCTTTACATTGCTGCGTCTTTTCTGAGCTTCAAGTTAACCTTTTGATGCACCTATCAATTAGTCTAACAGTAAGGGCTCACAAGGTGTATAGGAAACAAAAGGCATTTACTTCTTTTTACTTCCAACACTTTAACAACATGAACTAACAAGCCAGGGTTGCTACAGGAGAAGCGAGTTTCCATGATTTCCCATGGCATTCTTCTGCTAGAGATATGCAAAGCAGCTAGAACAAAGCCAAAAAATTAATTTCAATGTTTTTAGGCATACTCCTATATGACAATCTCATTTTCTCACAGTAATCGTACATACTTAAAAACTGGAGGAGAAATGGCTATTACAAGAATAATCTACAAAACAGGAAAAGGAAAAAAGGTGTCTGAAGTTCTACATTACTTCACACTGTCTGTGTAACCGAATACCTTCTACATCTTCTAGAGCAACACTGAATCGAAGTAGAACGAAAACCTGCTGTTATTTGAATCAAACCCAGGAGTAACAAAATTTCATTTTAACTCATTTGCATAAAGAAGCTTAAGTACATTTACAATGACATATTAAAGCTCTAAGCATTGAACACAGCACATGCATCATCAAAAACCCCTACAGTTGCAATTTCATGGTTAACTGCACTGTAGGAACCCAAATATCTGTTTTTGATGGCTTACTTTAATTTACATCTTTTTCTTCCCCCAGAGAGATAATGACTGATTATAGCAGTTTAAGTGGCTACATATGTACCAACATACAGCCTTTACAGTAGTAACAAGAAATAAAGTGCCAGACAGCATCAGTAAATACTAATATTTTTGGCTTTGTTACTACTTAAACAAAGCATAAAGAATGTTCGTGACTCATCAAGTGTCCTTTTCCCCCACTGCCAAATCTCTGCTTCTGTTCAAATTTCTTCTGAACCACGCTAGGATGTAGCTCAGCTGCTCTCTACTGGCCACTTGAGAATATTGTCCAATCATGAAAGCGATAACCCTTTTGCAACACTGAAGTTAAAGCATTAGCAATTAGTTTGTCTTATGTTCTATCTTTTCATTGTGTAACTATGTTGTGAATGGAGCTGCCAAAACTGGCACACAGATTTTCATAAAAATCTTGTAAAACACTGACACTGCTGAACAATAAATTCACTTTTCAACAGAAACATAAACACTGCACCATGGTATCAAACCCCAGCATTCAAGCAAAGACTCAAGAAATATATAAATTAGCACGGACAATCTCTTTCAAAACCCATTCAGAATCATAATTTATAAAGGATTGTTCAACATGGTTTCTAAATTCTGCCCTGCAAAAGCATTGTTCTGAGGACCATTCTGGCACTAGAATTCTCTGTAACACATACAAACTGCTGTTTTGCACCCCTGGATATCTCACAAGTTTCCTGTTTGTGTCTGAGTGTACTGCTAAGTACAGGTTTTCTGAAGAGGTCCTGGGTGGCTGCCTCACAATCACTACCCTACCATTCATTAGCTTAAATCAGCACATATATTTCCTGCTGTAGCCCTAATTCTTAAAGATGTGCCTTCAGAACTGAAAAAAGATCCTCCTAGAATTGCCCTTTTTTTGTTTTTGACCAACCAAAGTATGTGTCTTCTACTAGTTTTTGAACAGGTGTATATATATACATGTTAAAAAATACAAGTCCAAAATACAAATTTTAGAGCCTCCCTGAATGTATAACAACTGTCCTGATCAGCTTTCTAACTGAAGTTGTCCAGTTCCTTGGGAACAGAAAAAGGAAAGCATGTCAGCAAAGCAAACTGTGATGGCTCTCCTCTCCAACAGCATTATGCATTTCTTCTACCTGCCTTTTCTGATGTGAGTACATAGCACCACATGCACCTGGAATATCTGTAGATTCATCATGAGTTTTCCCCTTGGGGGAGGATGAAACCGTTTTTGTGAGAGGTATTAAATATGTTTGTTACCACAGCATTGTAAGGCACTTAGGTGTTACAATGATAAAACAAGTAAACCCTTCTAGTGATGAAATTAGTCAGAGTCCTCCAGAACAATGTGCAAAAGGTAACATATCACACAGAAATCTCCAAACCCTCTGGTCTGAACTCTGAAAAGTTGAATTCATACCCACATTAACCGGCTGGCTTGAGTTACTGCATCAGTTTCAGTAAATTAAATACAACTTCTCAGAAACAAGGAGGGCATGCCTAATTTGACGCCTATTGTTGACAGTTTTTAAATAATTAAGGCTTTGGATTTAAAGGCACAACTGTACTGCTGGTGTGGAAGCAACTCGTGCAGAAATAAAAACATTTATTTCAGAATGACGTTTCTGCTTTTACTAACTAATTAGGAGATATCCCGATTTATGTATTTACAAAGTTCCTCTCCCCCTAAAGGCACTTTAGGTCATTTGGCATAACTTCATGCATAGAGTATGTGTAAACTGTTCCTGCAGCATCTCAAAAACAAATTTAAAAAATGCAACTTTTTTTTTTACGTGTTTACCCAAAATATTTACACTATAATGCATGAAGTTCTACTTTTCATATTCATTTTAGAGACCAGGACTTAAGTGCCTGATAACATTTTTAGAAATGCTGAGGAACCAAAAGTCCTGTTTAGCAAAATTCCTTGGCATATAGGAAATTAAGGCATTTTATATATAAAGATATCTCATTCTAGGTACACCATTTCAGACATCCAAGTCCAATGCCCTACAGAAACATTACACATCAACAAAAACATACCAGCAAGAGGGGGTTTATGTGAATGCAGACTGCAGGGTATGCTGACAATTAACTTATGCTCTGGAACTGGAAGTACGTCTTCAGATTTCCTGTCGTATAAATCAGAACAAGAAAAGTGTGAGAATGAGTACCACCAAATGCAATGCTGTAGCTCTCACAGAGCTACTTCAGATGGGAAGTAACACACAGAATGTTCAGGCAAACTTCAGGTAGGTCTAAGGGAAGTTAAATGTTGCTCAGTCATAATATATATATAAGGACAGTTTATGAAATCACTGAGGCTTTAGACAAAATGTGGTTAACAACAGCCATACAAACAACGTTAAGTCCTGTACGTTTTCATGGGTGGAAAAACACCAGCATCCCCAAAATGGTGTCAGCCTGTGCCAAGGACTCATGGTCCAAGATAACCTGTCAGCAAAGGAAGCCCTGTCCATGAGGCTTTTATCTAAGTCAGTTTCCCAGCCCAGACAGATACAAGGAACAAAGGTTTCCATGCTTTAATCTCACTAAAGCGCTCCCTCATCCCAAAGTTAGTAAGGCTATTTTTAGGTCCAAAATCAGCCAAAAGATGACATCAAGAGAAGATTTGGGGACATTATATTCTATAATGAATAAGTGATATATACAAAGAGAATCCTAGCAGCCTCAAAGAAGACATTTACCATAAATAGTCTGGCATACCTTAAGGCTTCCTTTTCACCTCCTTGAACTCTTCCCAGTACAAGCATTTCATAGGGCTTTTTGTGTAAAGAATCCAAAGGCAATACAAATTCTCCAGCTTTAGTAATCTGACATAAAGGAATTAAAAATTGGACATAAAAATCTTTCACTGTGTATTTTTATTGAGACATTTTGTTTGATAAAAAGGAAGATAATGATGATACCATACCTTCCAAACACAAAAGCACATAGCAATAAGTGGACAAATTATAAGACTATAAAGTGTTGCAGTGAAGTCCTCTCACTTTCCTAAAAAGTAACAAAACAAATAGAGAACTCACTTTTGCCCAGTGCCACTCAGCAAGTGTTTTCACAGACCAATGAGGATAAAGTTCATCCTTAACAAAACGTAAGTGCTTCTGTCTATTAGTCACCCAGGTGACTACAAGACAATCTGGAGCAGCTAGTGCTGGTACAGGAATCTGTTTGATTTGCCATGAAGACAAGTAGCTGTATCTATATGTCAATACAGTGAGAAAGCAAGTTAGCATATACCAAATACAAAAATTGTACAGCAACACAAATGGATAAAGAAATTACACAGCTAAGACATTTCAAGAACTAGCTCTTGATGACACCAGTCCTAAAAAACGGACCAAGACTGACACCCAGTGGCTACAGCTGATGGATTCTAATATAAAATCATTACTCTATGCACTTGAGGTTCACTGAGCATAACCTTTAATTACCTATTTCTACTATTCCCCCAAATCAATTATTACAAATTCCAATCCTGAAGAAGTCTAAAAGCCCACGTTTAATATAAGAACATTCATACGTAATTCAATCTTCTCATCTTTACACCAGAACAAAGCCATTTAGTGAAAAGTAGCTCTTTAGTCAATGTAACTTTCTTCACTTTTCATAATAAGCAAACTCTCTTCTGAATGAAAATTACAAGTGCAAAGGCAACACTAATTTGACTAGCAAGTTAAAAGGTCATAAATGAGTAATGACTTCTCCAATTATTTGCAGAAGTTATTCATTATTGTTAAATTACTGTTCATGGTAAAAGTTCTCTAGGTTATTCAGAACAGTTCTGCACATTTTTGAGCTAACTGTATGCTACACTGGTGAATACAGTATGCTTTCCAGATTCTGTCCTGCTCTACTATTTTTCTCGTTATGCTATTCTACACTATTAGCAAATTACAATTCCTGGAACCTACATGTTGCAGCACCAAAAACATTGGCACACTGCCTACTGGAATCAAAACCCACTGTCTGGGTACCCGGGAACCCTATACAATGCAACAGGGACAACAGTGAGAAACAGGTGACAAGAACAGAACGCAAAATACCTCCTGGATCAGACTGCCCAGAGAAAACAAGATTCACAACCCAGAGGTGAAATGCTTAACAAAGATCAGCCATCAACAAGGTAACTAACAGCAGTGATAGCTCTTCCACCTTTTGTCTTTATTTTGGAAGGGGGAAGAGGGCCTCACTGGCTAATTCATGCTTGTAAATAACTACAATTGTCCTTTTAGTAACTTACATAGTTAAGCAAGACACTTGCGTGAGTTTAACTCAGTTTCTAAAGGTTTCTGTAGGGCTTTCGAAGTAAAACCTACCAATCAGTCTCTGCATCTTCAAATTATGTCTTCATAACAAGCTTCAAAAGCTACAGTAGACATTATTCTAGAAAGTTCTAAGGCTGTTTTTCTCGTCTGCCCCTCTTTCAACATGGATACCATTCTATGGTAATCAGGAGAGCTCCACTGGCATAAACCTGACGTTACTTGGTGGAGAAGGAAGCCCATAAAATTTTAATTTAATGACTTCATAATCTACAGTACTCAGAAAGTTCCTATTGCACTTGAGGATTTTACTGCTGCATTATCACTTTCTCTCTTCTACCCACCAGACTGAAGCTCAAACTACAGCTCAAATTAAAAACAAACAAGCAAAACCTAAAGCTTCTAAATAGGACATTAGTCCTAGAAATAGTTACATTTTTACCTAACTTTATGCCCACTGCAGTAACTCTATTAATTTCAAATTAATATCTGCATGATCTGGGCCTTACAAAACAGTTGACTCCAGGCTTTCCTTATAAATCTAAAGGATTCACATTCACCCACCAGTTAGATTAAGATCTACTCTTGCAAATATTTGGTATGTAAAGTATCCAAGCCACTTCAGTGAAATTCTGGAGACATTTCATGACTTGAAGGTAGGCATGTGCCAAAATATTTATTAGTTTAAGCTACAGTCTCACAGTTCTATTGGTCTTTGACTCCATCAGTACATTAAAATGTTAATTACCCTTTGTAAGCTAAGATGACAAAGTTTGATTTTACTATAAAATTTACCTGTTACTCCTTTTAACAGACTTGTTCTCCCATGGTGGATCAATCACAATTACATCATATTTTTTCTTGTCTGGGAAGTGGAATTACCAAAAAGAAAGCAAGCCAGTAAATTAGTTTTAAAATAAATCTACTAGTTACAACTGATAAAGGCTTAACTACCCACATACAGGCAACATTTAATGAGTCAACTATGCTGCAACTTCCTTCTGTTCTTACCAAATAAGAAAGTTAAAAGGCTTCTAGCATGCTTGTTTTAATTCAGACAATCATATACTTCAGAGATTTTTAGACTGATTACCTAAGGAAAGAACATTTATGTGATCTGTGCCAGATCCCTCCAAGAAATTTTGAACATCTTGGGGACTTTCAGAAAAAACCTGATAGCAGAGTGCAAGTCTCAACGATGAACATTTCTCTGAGTTTCCCAACAGAAGCTATGTAATAAGGCACTCAGCTGAGCGAAAGGCTGCAGCCCTGAACACAAGATTCCTGTCCTGTTGGATCTTTCAGCAGGCCAACTGGGACACGCAGAGCTCCAAACCAGCCCTGGAGAACTGTGTTTTGCACTGCTAGAGGTGAAGAGAGACAGGGAGCTAGACCCATGGTGTGGAATGGAAAATAATGGACAAGAGGAAAAGAACTGAAAGAGTTTTCACGGGGGAAGCTGATTTACTTTATTTAAAAGACAGAAGATACAGGACACATCCATGAAAAAACAGGACTCTCCAATTTTTATTGTTTCCACAGAACATATTTGTTCCTTCATTGATTCTGATGCTAATTATTTAAATAGCTAATAAGAACAACAGCTTAATATTTAATCTCCATTAAACGTGCTTTCTACATCTTCTTCCTTTATTAACATTGGAGGTGTTATCCTAACAGTGGCCCAACCAGCAAGAAATACATCTCTTTCGGCAGGTGAAAGGGAAAAAGAAAAAAGTAATTAAAATTAACAGTAGATATCCTCAAAAAAAAAAAACTAAAATCGTGATATTATACTAATATTCACTGTTGATTACTTAAAAAGCATTTTCTCAAATTTCTTGGACTGCTCTCTGACCTCTGGGAGAATCCAAACTTGCTACATGCACAGCTGTGATTTAGAAAATAGTGATCTTCCTTCTTTCATAAAGCTGAAAGCAGCTACCTGGCTAAAATCTGGACTTCAAATATAAAAGTAGTATTTAGATAAGAAGTCTCCACCTCCTGCATACCATCTTAATGAAAAAAACCTAAAAATCAGCGAATATCTAAGTTGAATAGTAGAAGGGAGGAAAACACATGTAACTACCAAATCTAAAACGAGTGATTAGAGGTTAGACCAGTAATCCCCAGCTCTTCCTCACAGGCAACATCTTTCCTGTAAGACTGACAAAGCTTAGCTGCTGCTAATAATAATAATGATGAAGGTCAAATTGAAAGCTAACGGAATGGTGAAATACAGTGACGACTGTTGGATGTTGTCAGCTTAAACCTTTCTGCACGAGCCATTAAGGCTGCAGATACTGGCTTTTTTTGGGCTTTTGATTTAGTCTTGGAGTAATTCTACAATCCCACCACTTCCTTGCCACTGATTTTGGCTTAAGCCAATACTCTCAGTTGTGAAATGCAGCAGCTGAGAAGTCAACTCATGTTTGCTACTCATAGTCTTGCTAAAGTGGTGTTCACCTCCAGCTGGGTGCAGCAGCCTCTCAAACTGTTATCTCCTCTAGGGGGGACACTGGGGTTGGTTTCACAATCAGTTTATGCCAATCTAAATAGACCCTGCTGCTGGACAGGATGAATCTGTAAGGGAATCCTCCTTTAAGGTACATAATCTCATCCCTCTCCCATGATCTAATCTAGCTAAAAACCAAGACAGCAGGAACACCACCCCAGCAGTAGCATGGACTTATCTACGTTAAAGCCTCATCCTGTGGGACAGGAACCCAGCAGCATAGCTAGTCCCAATTTAATGCATTTACATGACTTCTATACTGATAGTGACTCAGAACATGCTGACAAATCGTCATATTTTGGGCTTCATGCAAAATGCTGTGACAGATTTTCAAACGTGCCTCCCGGAGACAGATAATCCCTCCACGACAAGAGCTCCTAACCACTCAACATTCCTTTGAAAATCCTCACCTACTTGCACAAAGTTGGAAATACCAGTTTGAAAACTGGCAGCAGCATTTCCTATCAGTGAGATGCTGTGTATTAAAATCTGTTCACTGACATGTTCATCTTGACATTAACTGCCCTTCTCAGGCAGGAGAGAAGTGGTAAATTCTAATGCTTAAAGATACTTACAGTTCAGAAGGGGCTGTAAACATGAAATATCAGATAAAAGGAAACTGCTTTTTGGTGGCACCAAGTACTTCTGCCCCATTAACACAACTATCTTCGCACATTCTGAGCTGTTTTCTGTAACACACGAAAGGAGGTCCTGCTCTGGAATGGAGGTTTCATCATCTAGCACATGTACAGCTTGATGGTCACTTTCATTCACAGCTGGAAACTGCTTTGCCATTTCACATAATTCAGCCAACCCACAGCCAACGTGTCCAGGAACAACATTCCTCCTGCAACTGAGTTCTGGAGTAGTGCAGTGAAGAAAACCACTTTTGAGTCCTTCTTGAACTAAATGCAAAGTGCCTTCCCAAATGAGCTTCCTGACCTGTACAGTCACGAAGAAACAAGGGAATAAGAGATGATCATTCAAGTATCTACTTGATCAGGGAACGCACCAGAAATTAAAACATTTTCCATCTGCAGAGTAGGAAAAGGATCCTTGCCAAATATTGAGTTCATTGACTCAAAAGCTACAAGGGCATGACAGTGACACCATGCTAACTTTTATTGTTGTTTTTTCGGTAAAGTGAAAATAATTAGAAGCCTAAAGAAAGAAAGAGTGAGAGACTACTGAATAAAACATTTCACTGACAACAGAGGTGGAATATTATTGTTCCAAGCAAACAAACTTCAAAGCAATAATTTGAAGTATAACTTAAAATTCTAATCTAATTTCAAGTTACTGTGCCCATAAACATATTTTTAATTGAGAGGTATACTGGGATCTAAAAATCAGTATTTTTCCACATTTTAATTCACTTCTAAAATGCATAAACTATTGGTTTTTAAAGTAATATGGAAATACAATAAGTCAAACTAAATTATTAGAATTTGTTTCTGCAACTTTTCTAAGTGACACACCTCTCAATCTGCCAGAGAGTCCAGGAAGACAAGATTCTTGGATCTATATAAGCTCTCATTCACTTCAGCACCCTCCCTTTGCAAAATATGGAGATCTACTTTATTCCTAGAGCATCGAGCCATTATGAGTTTTAATTATCAATGATGCACTTTTGATCATTTAGAATACTAATATTGCCAGTTATGGTGGCTTTATCAAAGGTTTCAAATACTTCTTATGGTTTCTAAACCTCCTGATTATGGAATCCTCAAATTCTACAAGAAGTTTTTACAAAATACTCTTTATTGCAATTTCCAAATTAACGGGGGAAAACAACTTTTTTTTTTTAATAATTTCTTTAATAGCACCACCATCTAGCTATCTGAGGGGATAGTTGTAATTTTTTAGTACCTAGGTTTGTGATAGTACAAGTTCAAAATGCTTTAACAGAATTAATAAATATATCTTTAGAAATGCTACAAACTGTACAGCTGCAGACAGCTCTTCTTACACCCATACGTTAATTCACAGGTGGACATAGCCTCTTGACTATCAAGGAATGTAAACAGTAGTTTTAACAAATGGCTGCTGAAGGAATTTAGCGTATTTTCTACTGTCTCCTATATTGATTCTGACTGAAATTCATAAATGGATTCAACACCTACTTTCACTGGCAGACACAAATTTTGGGGTTTTTTTTGAAAAACAATTCTAAAGATATAAGTGCCCAAATAATCTGAATTGACTTGCAGAGCTACAACCCTTAATGCTACAAATACAGTAAAAACCCAGTACATTCTAATCTGTGAATGGTATCAGAGGCTAACTGGGATCACAGGTTTTTCAAAACTGTGTCTTTTTTGCATATTCATCATAAATCATTTGAGGTTATATAGGCCTCCAAGACATCATGTGGGAGTCGGCTGGGCCGCAGGCAGCCTTTATGATCTTGATGAATTTCATCTATATCCTTGAGCAAAAAATATTGTGCAGCTGTAGTTGAAGAACAGGAGGAAAGGAACAAAGATGCGAGACCCCAACTCCTAGCCAAGCGAGAAGGTCGGGTGAACGACGCAAGATGATCAATCAGAAGAACAAAGCAACCATGTGTCAAGAGACCCTCACCAATGAGATTCTGGGAGTGGGGGACAAAGGAATATAAAAATATTATGGATACCCAATAAAGTGCTTCTGCTTCTGTCTGCTTTCTTTTGCTTTGCATGCTTGCTTTTTGACTGCCGTAACTTACTGTGGCATGCTGCCACAACATCAAACTTCTCTTCGTTTCTTCCCTTGTTCCCATTGTTGAATGACTTGATTTTAGCTTAAAGGTTTTCATACTCATAAAACTCTGTTTGATGTTGAACTTCAAAGTTCTCTCCTTTAAGGTGATTCTGCATATGCATAGCTTATTCACTACAATAATTACAGGACCTCTACACTGTATCATAGCAAACTGTACACGTTTACTACAAAATTACTACTACTGCAGCACAGTCAAAGTCTTGCAGAGGTGAGCTGGGAGCTCCTAAAGCAGCCGGAGCCAACAAGGAAGCTTCTGTGAACACCCCAAGGGAAGCAAGCGGTGTTCCTCCGTGAAGGTGACACAGCCAGAAGCCCAGATGAAGTGCCTCTACATGAACACATGCAGCATGGGAAATACACAGGAAGAGCTGGAACTACCATGCTGCTAGAAAGCTATGATCTGATTGCCCTTACTGAAACTTGGTGGGATGAATCCCATGACTGGAGCGTGGCTATTGACGGCTACAGGCTGTTCAGAAGGGACAGGCGGGGAAAGCGGGGTGGTGGCATTGCCCTCTACATCAAGAAATCAATACAGTGAAGAGCTGTCCCTGAAGAATAGTCACGAGCAGGTCAAAAGCCAATGGGCAAGACTCAGAGACAGAAGCAATAAAGGGAACCTGGTTGTGGGTGTCTACTACAGGCTGACTGATCAAGGGGAGGCTACTGACAAAGCCTTCTTCCTCCAGCTCCAGGAGGCTTCGTGCTTGCAGTCTCTTGTCCTGCCTGGGGACTTCAACCACCTCGACATCTGCTGGAAAAGCAGCATGGTGAGCTGTAGGCAGTCCAGGAGATTCCTAGAATGCATTGAGGACAACTTTTTAAGCCAGGTAATTGACACCCCTACCTGAGGGGATGCAATACTGGACCTGATGCTCACCAGTGCAAGTGAGGTCATCGGTGGTGTGAAGACTGAAGGCATGCATTGGTGGAGTTCAGTGTCTGAGGGATACAGGAAAAGCAAGGAGTGTAGTCAGGACTCCAAAATTTTAGGAAAGCCAACTTCCAGCTCTTCAAGGAGTTAATCAGTAGGACCCCCTGAGAAACGGTCGTCAGGGACAGGGGGCAGAACAGAGCTGGCAGATCTTTAAGGACACTTTCCATAGAGCGCAGGAGCTCTCAGTCCCCAGGTGTAAGAAATCAGGAAATGAAGGGAAGAGACTGGCATGGCTGAGTCAAGACCTGCTGGGCAAGAAGGAACTGCACAGGCAGTGGAAGCAGGGACAGGTATCTTGGGGAGAGTATACTGATGCTGCCTGGTTGTGTAGCGATGAGGCCAGGAGGGCCAAGGCACAGCTGGAGCTGAACTTGGCAAGGGATGCAAAGAAACACAAGAAGGGTTTCTGCAGGTATGTCAGCCAGAAAAGCAAGGTTAAAGAAAGCATACCCCCCCGATGAACAAGAATGGCAACCTCGTATCAACAGACAAGGAGAAGGCTGAGGTACTCAACAACTTTTTTGCCTCAGTCTTCACCGGCAACCTCTCCCCTCACCCCTCCCCAGCTGATGGGCTGCAAGATGGGGTCCAGGGGGCAAAGCCCCTCCCACTGTTAGGGAAGACCAGCTTCATGATTACCTGAGGAACCTGAGTGTACATTAGCCTATGGGACCTGACAGAGATCCATCCCAGAGTCCTGAGGGAATTGGCTGCTGTAATTGCCAAGCCACTCTCCATGATATTTGAAAGGTCATGGCAGGCAGGGGAAGTCCCTGGTGACTAGAAGAAGGGAAACATTGTGCCCATTTTTAAAAAGGGTAGCAAGAAGGACCCTGGGAACTACTGACCTGTCAGCCTCACGTCTGTGCCTGGGAGGATCATGGAACACAACCTCTTAGAAGCTATGCTAAGGCACATGGAGGCCAGGGAGGTGATTCGAGACAGCCAGCATGGCTTCACCAAGGGCAAGTCCGTTATTCTCTCTAAATTGGAGAAATATGGATTTGATAGGTGGACTGTTCAGTGGATAAGGAATTAGTTGGAAGGTCGCAACCAGAGGGCAGTGGTCAACGGCTTGATATCCAAATGGACACCAGTGACAAGTCGTGTTCCTCAGGGGTCCTTACTGGGACCGGTGCTATTTAACATTCTCATCAATGACTTAGTGAGACTGAGTGCACCCTCAGCAAGTTTGCATATGACACCAAGCTGAGTGGTGCAGTTGACACACCAGAAGGACGGGATGCCATCCAGAGGCACCTGGACAAGCTCAAGAAGTGGGCCTGTGTGAACCTCATGAGGTTCACCAAGGCCAAGTGCAAGGTCCTGCACCTGGGTCAGGGCAAACCCCCAGTATCAACACAGGCTGAGGGATGAAGGGATTGAGAGCAGCCCTGCGGAGAAGGACTTGGGGGTACTGGTGGATGAAGAGCTGGACATGAGCCAACAATGTGCTGTCGCAGCCCAGACGGCCAACTGTATCCTGGGCTGCATCAAAAGAAGTGTGGCCAGCAGGTCAAGGGAGGTGATTCTGCCCCTCTGCTCTGCTCTGGTGAGACCCCACCTCCTGCGTCCAGCTCTAGAGCCCCGAGCACAAGGACATGGACCTGTTGGAGTGGGTCCAGAGGAGGGCCACAAAGCTGATCCAAGAGCTGGAGCACTTCTGTGAGGAAAGGCTGAGAGAGTTGGGGCTGTTCAGCCTGGAGAAGAGAAGGCTCCAGGGAGACCTTATAGCAGCCATCCAGTACCTGAAGGTGGCCTACAGGAAAGATGGGGAAAATATTTTCAGCAAGGCTTGTTGTGATAGGACAAGGAGCAATGGCTTTAAACTAAGGGAGGGTAGATTTAGACTAGATATAAGGAAGAAATTTTTTACCATAAGGGTGGTGAAACACTGGAACAGATTGCCCAGAGAGGTAGTGGAGGCCCCATCCCTGGAAACATTCAAGGTCAGGTTGGATGGGGCTCTGAGAAACCTGGTCTGGTTGAAGATGTCCCTACTCACTGCAGGGGGACTGGGCTAGATGACCTCTAAAGGTCCCTTCCAACCCAAAGCATTCTATGAAGATTGTTGCCATGTAAAAGATGAAAAATTTAGTTATTTAAATACAGTGCAAGAGGAACAGAATTAAACAAAAAGCCCGCTATGACTGACACCTTTGTCAGATGGAAGAAAGCAAATGTAGGTCCTAGTTCAGGTCCTATCACTATTTAGGAAAGCAGTAAGAATACATCAAACATTATTCACAGATTACATTCCTAGGATTTACTAACATGCTTCAGTGTAATTCAGTTGTAACTTCATCAGCACGCCACTGGTGTGAGCCTAGAGATCTGAATTCTCATTCATTCCTGACACTTTAGTACAACAATGTAAAATGTGAGAGGGAAAAATTCTTTCTTATTAGCAGAAGTGAGACATCTTGGAGCATATTTGGTCAGTGAAGCTTTGAATAACTTCAGCAGAGTGTCCTGGTACACTAAAGATGAGTTGATCTTCAGAACAGGTTATGCCGTTTATTTCAAATCAGTCAGTCCCTGTCCAACTAATATTTGACTCATAAATATATAATGCTCAGTTATCCACCACAGTAAAAGATATTTAGTGAATGCAGTTTCCAGCTCTTCAGAACATCTCCAATGCAGTTTCTTGTCTAGTTTTTCCACATGTATCTACACAGAAGACATCCTCCGTATGCCCTTATTCATTTAAGGACTACAGAAACTACCTTCCCCATGTGCGGAACAAGCTACAAGAGCAGAACTTGTTTGCAACCTTGCCTTGCACTCCATACATGCCCAAAGTCAGGAATCATATACTTGCAAAATATACTTTAGTTCACACTTACCTTTGAATGATATTCTAAAGCATCCAGTTCACCTTGGTTGAATATACACTTCCTTTTACGTTTCTGCAGAATAAGCAAACAATGAAAAAAAAAAACCTATATGACTCCATGATGAAAGGAAAAAAATAAGTAACCACACATACTTGAATCACAGAATCACAGAATGGCTGGCGTTGGAAGGGACCTCTGTGGATCATCTAGTCCAAGCCCCCTGCCGAAGCCGGGTCACCTACAGCAGGCTGCACAGGACTGCGTCTAGGCAGGTCTTGAATATGTCCAGAGAAGGAGACTCCACAAAAGAAACTTTCCATCTCTTTCCATCACAAGTATAAGTCCCATAAGCAAAAAGACGATCTCAAAATACCTAGGCTACTGTAGGCATTCTCAAGGCACATGGGCTTCAAGCTGTGCTATGTTACTTATGGCACTGGGATCTGAAGGCACATAGTGCATGTCACAGTTCATGTTCATCCCTCCTTTGGGCCCATATTAGAAGGTATTCATTCAGTTGCCAAGTGCAGTTTACCAATAACAGGAGAAAATTAGCTATGTCTTCACAACTACATTTTGTTGGTTTAGACCTGCAACTTTTTTTGTTTTGGTCCACAAGGGACAGTCCTGAACAATCCACATACTGAAAGTTAATTCATACTGTCCTTCCCTCCTTGCTAATCTGCACTATCTTGGTAAGTACCATAGTTTCAGCTCAAGTGCCTGACCACAACAGACGTCAGAAGATTTTGTGAGCAGCCCACTACTTCTGAGTCACAGGATGCATATTACTGACACGAAGGACACAAGAATATCCTCATGACTGCTTCCATCATCCGTGCATCTTGAAATCTACTGTGGAAAAGTTCCTGCTCTCCTACCTAACCTCAGGAAACTGAAAAGTGCAACACAATGTTAGTGATATATTATTTGCCAGGGGATTACTGTAGCTTACGGTATTACTGAGAGCATACCTTCCTAGTACTGGCAACAGAATCTCCAACGCCACTCTTGGTTCCTTCTCGGTGTTCCTCTCTGTTGCCATCGGCCTTTATTTCTCCAAGACTCACCTCAGGGCATCCCTGCCACAGATGCTGCTTGGGAGCTGCAGCTATATGGGGCTTACAAACATCAAAGAACTCCTCTCGAAACACATATCTCGTTTTTGCTGTTTCACCTTCTGTTTCTATCGCATCTCCAGGACCAGGAACAAGACCATCTCTTGACGGGCAGGTGTCAGCAAAGGCAGAAGCAGCATGACAATCTCCAGTAGATGCGACAGAAGTATCAAGAGCAACACCACCAGGATATGCCAAGGAGTCACAAATCTCATAGCCACACTGGTTGATGAAGGAGAGATGATCCACGAGCCACCCCGCTGCCAGCCGATGTACCACAGACATCACAGCTCCCCTTTTCAGGGAAAAAGATCAACTCCCCGAAACCGTAGCCAGTCATCACACGCACTTCCCGAGGCAAGCTCCTCCTGTGGGAATTTTTTTTAAGAGTTCACTTTTCAGAACTGTCACTGTTTGATCAAGCAGCACCTGTGTTCCCACAGAAATTTCCACGCGCGCACAGCACGCGCTATAGAAACTTCTGACTTCAGCTGGTTTCCCCACTGTGACTTCTGTGTCATCCCTGTTTTGCTTTTTTTTTTATAGCAAGCAAATTTTAAATAAGTTTCTGTAGTTTTATACAGCATAGATGTACTCAAGGCGGCTCTCTTCACAAGTTAGAAAACAGCACTGTGACACTGCAACGACGCCAAATGAGACCTCCCACCGCAGCACTGGGGAGCGGGAACCCACGCAGAGGGGCAGCGGCGGCACCAGAGGCCGGGCCCCGGTGCCCGCAGGGCCCGGGAGCTCGGGTTCTCC